CGGCTGCCGGGTTCATCCGATCCGTTAATCGGAGCATCGCGTGGATCGACCACATTTCTGCGTAAACTCGCATTCTGCATGAACTCGCGCGAAATTTATTTATACTCGCGCCGCTCGTTGCAGTCGCAGCGGCGTTCGTTCGGAAATGCACTTTGGTGCACGCGCGTGCGACGCGCATATTTCACGGCATAGACATTTAGGAGCATGGAATAAATCGCTTGCGAGCGAAGATGCATTTGCATACAAACGCAAAATGTCCCCGTGATTATGTACGTAAATAAGTGGTCACCGCGAACGCGCCTATTTTAGAGTCATCGCGATGCTTCCTGAACACAATAATCGCGCAACTTCGCCTTTTTCTGCTGTCAAAATGCGTTGTATTTGTATATACTCGAAGTTGAACGCGACGAAAAAACATATAGGAGGAAAAATAAAAACGAAAGACCAATAGAAGCTATAACGAACACCTCTCCGCATATATCGTTCTTCGACTTGACAAGTCGTATGCTTCACCGAGGTTCAAATATTATTTCGGCTATGCATGAATAGGCATTCGGGTCAAGACACAGCGAAATGTAAAAGTAACGTGTAAGGAGCGGAGAATTAATATCAAAATTCGATCAGTAATAGGAATCTTAAAATGTAACACATTTATAAAGAGGACATGTCTTATATCTATTTTATTTCTATATAGCCAACTTTAAAATAGCCAACTTTTATCTATTTCATGTTTATATAGCCATAACATTATATTTTTTTCTAATAATAAGCGTAACATTACCCATCTATTTTATTCTACCGTCTACCTTCTAAACGGCTGGTCTTATCTAAATATACGTATCGGTAATGCTATATACGCTATCCCTTATCTGTTGCATTTTATTCTCGTATTTCTTTGTCACTTAACTCTCTCTGCGCTGTTTACAACACATCACTTCCGGTCGTTAATTCGGCGAAAACATGATTATGAAGAATTGTAAGAGACTCTTGAGGACTTGCGTAATAATGTCATTGAGACATGATAATTAATGTTAATTATTTTAAACATAGCGTATATGTTGAGACAATAAAGATATGAAACGTAGGGGAGACCGGGGCTGGTTGTCGTACGGGGTTGATTGTCAAAATGCTTATAACTCAAACAAGACACGGCAGAAAAATCTCTTTTTTGTAGTAGATTTTGACTGTAGATAGCTGATATAATATTAATTTGTTGTGTAAAATGGTTTGCACCACAAGCATTGTATATATTATTTATAACGATTTTTGAGAAAATGAAGTTGGTGAGTAAATTTTT